TCGGTTAAACCAAGGATAACATCTTGGCTTGAGGTGTGTTTCATTCCCAGACCCATGAAAGTGCAACAGCCCCACAGACCACAGGACCAAACAGGATTAGGCGGTGGCTGATTCCAGAACCTGACACAATGATCAATTACCCCAGCCCTATTCAATCAGTACCACCCATGACCCCAACTCCCTTAGCTTCCATGGCTAATGATTTTTCCCTATATAATCTATCCCCTCAAGACACTTAGGGGGCCAGGTCTTTGAGCAGTGGCTCACCTGTATCTCCAGGACTTGAATTCTCTAAAATAAACCTTTACTTTCTTTGCTGCAAAACCTGTACATATCTCATTGGACTTAGACCGTGCAGGCAGACAGAACTTTTTGCTCCAGTGACAATTTTTCTGACACCATTTTCAGTCTAATCACACTCCCTTCATTTCCTAACTCTTCGGAGTAAAAACAAGTCTTGTATCCCTTACAATTCTACAGAAATACCCCATCTGTGCCTCGACAAACAGGTTAATTCCATGCCTCTGAAATGTTCAGGAAAAAGTCAGCACTGACCCAATTGTGGATTTCCAGATAGATCTGCTCAGAATTTGTAATTGATATTCACTGAAAGGTCAGTTACTTCTATTTCCAAGTATCTCTCAGTCTCTGGATTCTCTTCAGTTGGCCTCTGTTCCCCAGATCTTGTAGACTATTATTTTATTAAAACTATCGCCATTTAAAAGTTGAAGTGGCTACTACTTTTTATGCTTATCACCAAATGACAATTGTGTTTAAAATGTTTATCTTTAAAAGATTTTCTGTTTAAAATTATTTTTCAAATGTAAGTTACTTTTTTTCATAATATGAATGGAATATCGTCTTTCTTGATAATCAAATATACACAGTCTCTAACCACTTTCATTACTATAAATTACCCTAATATCTATCATTATGCCCTCCTCCCCCTTAAGGATCAGCCTGATTAAATCTTGGAATTGATGAAACAATGACAAGCTTTTAAAGTGTTAAGTCAATGCTTTTCCAGTTTCTAAGGTTTTGACAAGATTTCAAATCTTGCCTAAAACCTGTATTACCTTAAAAAGCTTAAAAGGAATAAACATTTAACTTCAAATGATTTAAAGTCATTTAAAATATATAGTCCTTAGATTATTTTATCTGCTTAAAGACTCTTCAAAGATAGTTGAGAACTCTGACCATTTATATATATTAGAAACCCCAACTTTAATTTCATAGTACAAATGTGAAATCTCTTTCCATTATTTGGAATCTGAAACTCATTTCATAGACTGTCTAGGAAAGCTTAAAGAAAAAATAAGATTGGTCCTGACTTTTCCTTACATTCGAGGCAATATTGTTACAGCTCAATCTTTGATAAACAGGAAGTCATCCACATATAATAGGGTCTTGTTTATCACACTCCATCTCTTTTCTCCTGTCCCATTTATTGCTGCCAGAAAGGCATCCTAACAATGATAAAATGTAAACACTGGACAGGCAGTCTCATGCATCCTTAATATAAGGATCACAGAAAAGTCTAATGTGTCTTATAAATATTATTGTAATTAAAATACTATATGTATATATCTGTATCAATGAGCACAGACATACTACCACTTTTTAATTGGTGCTTTCTTCCTTGTCCATAAACAAAGGTATAGAGAATAAATTGAAGGAAAAAAAATCCCCACTTTCTCTTACTAAAGTCAACAGCCCCCAACCAGTGCTACTGCTCAAAAAAAAGTATTTTTTGATTTGGTTTTCTTGATGGCTCTATGGTTTCAGCTATTTTATACATTTATTGAAGGAACTGTTAGTTATCTATCTTGTTAAAGTTTTTGTGTGCCCTTAGTAATTGCAGGCCCTCATGTTACAAGAAATTTAAGGATTTTTTAAAAGATAAGAATCTTCAGTACAGTCTTTTTCTAAATAAAGATAAAATATATTTTGGAGCCTGAATATATAGTCACACTTCATTTACATACAGAAATGTTTTAGCTAAAGCCTCACCAACATAAGCATTTTTGATGTTTAGATTAACATTTGCTGGGAAGTAATTCATCTGTAAGTTATTAAGATATATAAGTAATATGTTCTCACCACCAATTAGGATGTGTGTGTGGTGGGGGGTTTCCCACGCATCCAACAATTCTCGGACACCATCAGGGTGTCCTAACATTCTACTCAATTCTGACACTATCTACCTGGAGATAGCATCAGATTTCAGATTAAGAAATCAGTCCTACAAGACCTGCCCCTACTTCAGATGGCAATGATGAGCCCAGGTTGTCACCTGTGCTTCTGACTGGCTATAAATCAGAAGTTCCCACAACCCGCTTGCTGGGTTCAACTCATTAGCTAGAGCAGCTCACAGTACTCAGAAAAACCATCTACTCACTAGATTGCCAATTTATTACAAACGATATGAATCAAAAGCTAGATGAAGAGAATATAGGGCAAGGTCCCTAACAAAGGAGTCTCTGTCTTCATGGAGTTGAGGCCCGGCACATGGAAGTGTTCTGGTTCCCCAACCTAAAAGCTCTCCAAACCCTTTCCTTTGAGGTTTTTATTGAGGTTCCATTACATAGGCATGACTGATTAAAGCATTGGCCATTGGTGGCTGATTCAACCTCCAGCCCTTCTCTCCTCCCCGGAAATCAGTGTGGGGACTTACAGTTTCCTTGGAAATCTGCCCCTATCCTTAGGTACTTTCCAAAAGTTACCCACTAACATAAGCCCAGTTGTGGTGGAAAGGGGCTTTTTATGAAAACAAAACACCCACTTCGTCTTTATGGCTCTGAAGCATTTTCAGGAACTGAAGACAAGAGACCAAATATAACAAAAGATGCTCCCAGTACTTTCATAGCTCAGGAAACTGCAAGGGTTTTGGGAGCTGTGAGCCAGGAACTGTGGATGAAGACCAAATATCTATTTCTTATAAATCACAATATCACAGCATTGCATATTCCTCTCATTATAGCACATGTCTTTCTTTTTGGTAGGGTTCAAGTATCTGTTTTCCAACCCCCATCTTCCCTAATCCCTTACAAGAACATTTTTTGTTCAGTCTTGTATCCTCAGTACCTGGGGCTTTACACACAGTAAGGACTTAATAAAGCTTGAATGAATGAATGAATAAATAATGTGTTACACAGCCAAAGAATAAGTCAATAGGCAAAAGAATGGGACATGGGAACTACCCCTTGAACGCATCAGGCTGTTGTGCAAATACAGATCTTCATATCAGCCGTTCCCTGTTTCCTCTATATAGAGCTCTTCTATTTCCCCACCCTCACCACCAAATCCCTGTCAGAGTTTTCACTCTTTAACACTCACCTCAAATATCTGTTTGCTCACTTCTACACTGCACTACACTACATTACACTACATTACACAACACACACATACACCAAGGTAGCCTTTTCCTGCTCTAATGCCTGTTCTTTATGCTCCCACAGCCTGCCGGTCATACCTTGGCTGCAGCACCTAGCACACCATACTGAAATGAATGGTTATTTCCCATTCATTTCCACTTGACTATAAGCCCCTTGAAGGGCAGAGTCTTCATCTGTATCCCCACGTCCAGCTATTAGTACACTGCATGGCATGGGCACTCAAAAACATTTTGAAGTAAAGGGTAAAAGATTAAATAAATGGTGGGGGTCTGCATTCTGGAAAATCATCTCAGCATAATCTGTTTGATAAGATGTCAGTTAGGTACATATACTGCTATAACTCCCAAACAGAGTAAAATTAATGTAATTGTATATCAAGATTACTGCTGATACAGAAAAATTGCAATTAGAAAAAGTACTTTGATCCATGGACAAGCCCCAGGCAGAGCTGTCTTCAACATACTTTTTTCTCTTTCTCTCTCACCCCGATCCCGCTTTAACAAAAAACAATTTTTTCTTCTTCAACCTAGGATTCCCTATACTATCCCCAGATGCCACATGTAGATGTCTCCCAGAAGTCATTCAATAGTCTCTTCCTGACAAAATGCTTATACGCCCGTGCCCACAGAGTCTTGAATCATAACTAGCAGGTTAAAAAAATAACCGGTTTTGTGGAAAAGGCGGGGCTCATGGGTTCACATTCTCATTTTGACAGGGATCTTCTTCTAAGATGATGGATTTACTCAAAGTCCAGTGGTAAAAGACATTTTGAAACATAGGACCTTCCAGAAATCCTTAAATCACTCCACCAGAGTAAGCTCCTTCACAGCACTGGAGAGGTAAAGGGAAGTAGAATAGGCTATCTCAAAATGTGTCCCTTTGGCATACGGATTATTTTGAGCTGAAGGCAATCAAGACCCAGCAGACTCAAGAAAAACTTAACCTCTCCCTTAACTGCCTAAAAGAATTTGGATAGGGGTCCTGGCACAGAAAGAGAGCTCTTACCAGAGATAACTTTTTATCTGCAAGACTTACCTGCATGACAGGGCAAACTTCTAATTACCAAACATCTGCTATCTTATCATCCTGTGAACTACCCTCCTCCCCTTTGAAGCCCTAGGCCTCTATCCCATTCTTTAGCTCAGGATGACATATAAGAGTCAATTACCCAATTGGCCCTCGAGTCTCATATCTCTGGGGTTCCAGGAGGTACAAAAAAAATTTTTTTTCTCTTGTTAATCTGTCTTATGTCAATTTAATCCTTAAACCAGCCAAGGAAAGAAAGGAACATTTTTCATCCCTACAGAGGTGAGAAAGCTTGGTGGTTAGGGCAGAGTTCTGAAGCCAGGCTACCTGGATTTGAATCCACTCTCTGACCACAGGCAACCTCACCAATGAAAGAGAAGACCTAGCTCAAGAAATTGGTGGGAAAATGAAATGGGTTAATATAGGTAGAGTACTCAGAAAAGTACCTAGTAAATGATAAGTTGTCAATAATTACCTACTATTAATATTATCATTTTACTGTTATTAAAACCGCTCTGACAGAACTTGAAGAGAGAAATTCCCCAAGGTAGGAGAGGAAAAAGAGGAGAATGCACTTACTGATTTGGTTGTTCAGCTTGAATGCAATGTCCAGCTGCAGAATAAACAGCATGAATTGGAACCAAGGACTCATCTCCATGTTGGGGAGAGGAATGTGGACAGAAAACACAATGTCATTGGCTTCTATTTCCCTCGGAATTGCTTCCTCGATGTCCCGGATCTTGTCACACTGGTTAGCTCCCCAAGGCATTAACCATTTTGTTTTGTGATGGTTTTTACGGATATCCACGCATTTCACTGACAGGTAGGACACTGCCGCCGTGGGCCCTGGAGCTGAAAAGAGAATGTTTTTCTGTTTTAGAAAAATCATCCACTGAGGTGCTCGTATCTGGCTAACATTCTTTTTACTATTGTCTTCTCTCCACCTTTTTTTTTTTAATATACATTCTGTAATTTGGGACCAGTAATACCTGGGTATCTCCCAACTCTGGGTGAGAATCCTTCAGTGACCTCCAGAAGTGTCAAAAAGTAAACCCAAGAGTCTTCCCATTGTGCTTTTAATCAGTGTTATTGGAAGGCTATATTTGTAACCTGTTGGGTTCAGTTACCTCCTCACACCAAACCGCTGTCACAAAAATGCACAGTGCTCCAGTTCCCACCTGAAGACTTGCAGGGCTCTCCTGCTCCACAGAGCACAGTGTTTGAAGTCAGAAAACCTGGGTCTGAAGCCTGGTTGAACAACTGACTCCCAGTTAATCCTGGGCAAGTCAGTTAAATCTATAGGAGCTTCGGGACCCTCATGTGATAAACAAAATGGTTGGTTTCTAAGATTCAACCAAGATAGCTGGTTTCTAAGATTCTTCTTAACTCTAAAATTTTACAACACTGTTTTTGATTGAGAGAAAGAACTTTGTTAATCTCCGACCGCTACTTAGAGTGTACCTATCAGAGGGTGGAAACTCAAACATTGACTGATCCTTCGAAGGTGTACTAAAATATAATACATGCATGTCAAGAAAGAACATCACATTTGAACTATGTAACATTTAAAAAGCACTATTTTGTGATTGTAAAATGGTTATATGGTTATAACAGAAAATCTGCAAAATACAGAAATTTTAAAGTTCAAAAACAACATTTACCCAGAATCCCACTAGAGGGAAGTAACAACCGTTGGAAAAATATCAAAGTATTGTATCTTTTCTGTGAATGTATAATTAGAAAAAAATTTATAAATGAATTAAATTGTGTGACTTTAAAATATATGCTAATATTAACACACAATTCTACAAAATAGGATCATACTAGATATAGGTTTGTAGCTTTTTCTTTTTATTCACTTAGAGAAGCAGAGTAGTACAGTAGTAAATAACTCCACCACTGGAGCCAACTTGCCTGATGTCAAATCTTGGCTCTCTCATTTCTAGTTGTGTCATCACTATTCCATGGTAGGAAAGTTTTGGGTGAATCACTAAATCTGTCTGTATATTAGTTTTATCATCTTTTAAATGGCAATAATAATAGAACCTACCTCTCTGAATCATTGTATACATTAAACAAGTTAACATATGAAAAGCATTCAGAATAGTGCTTGAGCACATAAAAAGTATAAAATTAATATTAGCTATTATAAATATTTTCTACATAATTAAAAATTTTCAACTAGTGTTTGCAAAATAATCAATCACATGATATACTAAATTTAATTTACCTACACAACCCTTAATTTATAAAAGTTGTCTACAAATAAGAAATATTCTTTGCTTAATATTTTTTGTTAGTGATTTATCTTAATTTTTCCATCTGCTATCTAAACTTGTTTACAGCATATTTTAATCAGAGAAGTTCCAGGTTTCATAGAATCTGTCTTTTCCTTTGATTTTTTTTCCATGCTTTATTCTTAGAGAGACCTTATTTATCTTCAAATTCAATAAACAGACATCTTTATTAACTTCCAGTTAGTTTTAACAATTTCATTTAAAAAAATATTTAAATAGCTAATCCATCTGCTATTTGTTTTGCTATAAGAGATGAATTAAGGTTCTAGCTTTTTATTTTTTCTAAATATGTATATTATCCTTTACTGAAGAGACTCTCCTTTCTTATTGACTTATACTATCACCTTTACCTTATGTGTAACAATAAGTGTTTCTGGACAATCTGTTCTATTTCATGTATTGGACAGTTAACTCACAGCCCAATACAATATTGTTTTGAATCCTATAAATTCATGGTTTGTATCACTATCTGACACTCCCTCCAATCCATTTCAAATTTACATTGAATTGCTTGGATTTTCACTGAAATTCCGTACATTTAATTCTGTGCATATGATATTTGCATACTGTGCTTTAAGACCTTTTATGAGCAGAAATCATCTCATTTAGTAGAGATCAGTTAGCAACTAGAGAAATATGTAAAGTAAAGGAAAGTCACATAGGAAGCAAAAGTGTGTATTATTGATATTTTGCCCTACTTCTAATGCTCAGAAACACGGTTCTTTTTCTATCCCTAAGTATCTATCCTGATCGTAAATTTTGAGTAGTAAGATGTTATGTTTGCAGAAGGCTAGTACACAATGCCTACTAAAACGTATCCAAAAACAGAGAACTACTAAACTCTAGCTGAAAGTCTTTCAGGTGCATAGTCCTGCGTACTGCAACATAGAGGCTCCACTTATCCATGCCAGGGAAGTTTTTCTTTAAAACTCAAAACTGTATCACAGACACTTTACACCTAATCCATCTATAATCAGACATCTAGCTTATTATTATTATATGAATCAATCAAATGTTGGTTATCCTGACTCAGCTAAATAGCCTACTGACATTAAAAAGACCAAATGGCACATTTCACTGAATCCTTTTTAATGTGGTTGGAGAAATAAACAGGGAGACAAAAGTCATGAATTCTATTTTTGGCTAACATGCTCAAACTGACTATTTGCGGCAGAAAATAGTTACTACATTCTAAAACTTCTATTCTTCCAAAATGAACCTAACCTTTCTTCATTTCTTTTTTTTTTTTTCCTTTTGAAAAACAAGTCTCTCCCTCTTTAGACCAAAATGAAAAATAACTAGCTGAGTTTTTCAGCTCAGTTCCAAAACCACATTCCAAACTTAATAACAGAGAAGCTGAACACTTTACGGGCACAAAGGCTGCATTTTTAATGGACACAGTGAACGCCTGCCTTTGTAGCGGCCTGAATTATTTTCATTCTTTCATTAGTCCAGTGTTTCTTGCATAAAGAAAAAAAATCCCAGGAACACTAATATTTTCAGAAAGATCATGGCAATGAACTTGGAGAACCCTTAAATGTATCTCAAACTATACTTTGAAAAACACAAATATTTTTCTTCATTTGAATTAGTCCTCTAATCTCGAAACCTTTGCATAACTTAAAAACCTGAAGATAATTCAATATTTTAAATTTTTCTAGTAGTGCTCAGAAGGTAAAATAGTTGTATTATTTGAGAAAGTAAATAGATATTCTGCTATTCAAAAACAGACAGTAAATGTTTCTCCAATAATGTATTTACAGCTCAAGACAACTTCCTACTCCAGTTAAGTGATTTTCCAGGTGTTTCTTTAGGTAAAATGCCTAACAAAGTAAACTAAAAATAAAGCTTATAGCTAATAGCTGGTTAGAAGGTGTTTTTATTATTAAGTTGTAGCCAAAATTGTGACTACATGTGTCACAAAACAGTGTCTAAAATCAAAGGAAGTTCGATTTCTATTATTAAATTTTTAAAAAGTGTGAGGGATTTTATTGTAAGAGAAAAGAGTGAAATGGAAGAAGCTGAAATTATCTGCAACCTCTGAAGAAGCCATAGTCAACTAACAGGTATATGAAATGAAGGCCTTACTTAGAAACCAGTGTGGTTCTAAGGATTAATAGAGTTTGTGTATTTAAGAAGGGGCTGGATGGATTCAGGTCAACAAACTGAGTCATGTTTGCTCAGGTGAAAGCTAAAAATAAGCACTCTCAGTATTTCTAGGATAGCAATGCAATATCACCCAGCTGCTTCAGCATACTTCATAAATGTCCCCTCTACCCATTCATAGCATTTAGTTGAAAAAAAGTAGGCCAAAAGCTACTTCTACATGAGTACAATTTATTAGACAGAGCAAGCTAGCCCAAAATGAATATTTCCAGGCACTGTGGACTAGTTAACTTATGGTTGGTTAAGACAGTGTTTAGAGTATGCACAGAAGTCATAAAATCACAAGCTACTCATTGAAAACTCTGGCCCATTTTGAGTTCAGTTCTTTTTACTATGTCAAACATACGCTATTTTTTCTTATCTGTATTTCAACATTAGTCCTCTGTCTACCCCTCCACTACAGTACAAGAATTGTGAAATGTGATACTACACAACATTTAATTTAGAAGTGCTATGAAATCAAAAAGACTTATAATTCAAGGTTGTGAAAAACAGCACAAACACAACTTGAAGCCTCTTTGAAAATTCAGTGGCCCCTCAATGACATGCATTATTAAGGCTCATACTACATTTACAAAGTGTGTCTTGAGTACCTACTATGTGCTAGGTACTGTGGAATGTACAAATAATAAGGAAAACAGACAAAAAACGATTATAGGAAAAAGTAATTATAATTGTGGTGAATGCTACATTTATCCTGACATTACCTGAGAAAGGGCAACAGTCAGATATTTGTGAAGTAGAATTCGCTAGAATGAGGCAAAAATTCCAGTCATCATTATAATGTAACCTTTAATAAAAATGTAAGTGAACAATGACTAAACCTGTACTTCTTTTGGAAGAATATTCATTGACTCCAGTCAGCTTCCTGTTATGGCATCTCAAATGGCTGTCCAGTTTACAAATTACTATCTAGCCAACCACTACCGCTATCATGCTCAAAGGTGAGTCAACATCAAATCATTAGCCCCTACTCCCTCCAGAACCTGTAATTAAAGAGTTGGACAGAGATGCAAGACTTGGTTGCCTCCTAGAAAAGTTAAAATTAAAACAACATGCTGGCATGACACATGGTTCTCTATTTAGGCTAACAGAGACTATTTATTTCTTTGCTTTATTCAAGTAAAAACAATTCCTTTAGCAATTATCTAGGAGTATTACTATTATGCGAGCACTGTACTAACTTAAGATAGAGACAATGACAGTCCCAGACCCTGAGTTGCTCATGGTCTGGTGTGGGAGGCTGAGAAGTTGGCAGAGAAGTACATCCTAATTGAAACTTGTTCTGACAGAAGTTTGCTCAGGATGCATTAGTTGAAAAGAAGGCTGTGGGTTGGGGGCTGCTTGCAGAAGGCCTGGACTTAGCCTTGAAAGAGCAGGTGTTTGCTA